CAAAGGATCTATGGGTTCCAATGTTGATTTGGCCCTTATGTTGTATCTAGCCACTGCTCAGAAGCAAGGGTAAGGGTCTCTCCACAGGAAGACTCTGGATAGCAATTTCTAAAGCTTGAAATCTTAAAAAGCACCCCATAAAACATTGGTTACTTTGAGTTTCACACTTTACAAGCCCTGACATATAACTCAAGAGAGTGAATGTGTCTTAGCTCTGAATACGAAAAGATTCATGTTCCGTGCGACCCACTGAAAGAGTGTTGGAAGTGGTTCATTAAGAGAAAATATTCAATTAATGGAAATCCTTTTATTGGATGGAGCTTCACAAACAGCAGGGCTCTCTTGCCCCAATAGCTGAAGGTATACAGTCTCGGGTAAACTGTGCATCCAGCAGTGCCCTGCCCTGCACTCTGGAGGGCCGATCGCCAGCTTCCTCCAGCTCCGTCTACTCACTGACACGGGCATGAAAGCTTGTTTCTTAGAACTGCCGCAAGTGCCAGATTAGCCTTCACAGAAGTCTAGCCTGAAACTCCCAGGCTCAATTAGGCTAAGCAGAGATATCTTTTTTTCAGCATTCTGAAAGCAGTGGATGTCTAAGCAGCCTACTTCAGATATTATAAGTATTTGAAATAGACTCTGCTCTCCGTTAGACATAGAAATTATAATTTGTCTTCCCCCACTCTCATCAAAGCTGACAGTGAAAAACAGTACTTGAGATTTTATTTCAGGTACTTTTGTACACATACTATATTTCGCATACTCACTCATACACACAAAGTATTAATTCCAGGTTAATCATCTACTAGACTATGAACTATTTCAGGACAGTGTTCATCTTTCTATCTACTGGATATTGTGCATATAGTGTATCAAGCATACTGATCAATTTATAAAGCTCTCTGTAAGCCATGCTTTGTTTAGTAATGAGTCTGTCTATGAAATGTTCGCAACATAGTTTTCTCTTTACTAAAGACGTATGTCTTCAGTTCTGCAGGTATGGCTGTGTAGGCTCCTAACAGGATGACCATCTATAGATAACAACTATAAATTCTTAAACTCTAAACAAAACAAAAAAATCAACTGTCTGAAGCCTTTGGAGAATGATCAAAAACAAGGGGATTCTGGAAGGGAGTCAAGACTTGGAAGACTGAGCCTGGGCAAACTTACTGGTTTTAGAATTTTTAGCCTGAGTGGCAGAGCCTGAGACAACCACAGTGCCAAAATGTGAGGAAGGGATATAAGAAAGGCAGAGTCAGAGACGGGGGGTCTCCAAGTTTGTGTAAAAATCTGCCCAAATCCCTGGCTGACCCCAGGACCCTGTATGCCAAAAACAAATGCAGAAGTCAAACTAAGAAAAGAACAACGAATCATGGAACACTACATCAAAAACTAATGATGTAATGTATGGTGATTAACATACATAAAAAAAAAAAAAAAAACCGAACTGAACTGAACTGAGACCTGCACTCTACTCAACAAGTCAGCAGTCTGAATCCAAAATCACCAACATTCCTCAAACAGAAGAGAATCCAGGGCTTTGTCAACACAACACTCACTATGCCCAGGATACAGTCCAAAATTACTCAACACACAAAAAATTGGAACACTATGACTCACTATCAAGATAAAAGTTTATCAATTCAGGTCAAATCCAAAATGACTAGAATTTTAGAATTAGAAACTTTAAAGTACCTATTTTATCTGCACTCAATGACACAAAATAATATGACACCTGTAATGAATAAAAAGCAGAAAATCCCAGCAGAGAAAATTTTTTTTCACATACACATATTTATATATGAATCAAATAATAAATTCTGAAACAGATCATTATAATACCTGATATAAAAAATTTATCTAATGGGCTTAACAGAAAAATAAAGATAACATTAGAGATAATCCATGAATTGAAGATACAGAAGTAGAAGTCCGATCTGAAGAACAGGGCAGGGAGCGGAGAAAAGAGAAAAGAGACACAGGAACTATTTTGAGAATATCAAAATGTTGAACACACGTGTAACTGGTCTCTAAAGGTGGAGAGAGAAAGGGTCATAAAAAGTATTTGAAAAAGTAATAGCTAAAATATTACGATGAAATGGACAAATCTCTGGGCGGGGGGAGGAGACCACAAAAGATGAAATAGGAAATCTGATTAGTGCCATGTCAATTAAAGACTTTGAACTCATCACCAAACTTAAGGCTCAAAGGTCTTCACTGGTTAATTCTATCAAATACTGAGGACGAAACAGCATCCAACTGACATACATTCTTTGGGGTTAAAAAAAAAAGGCAAGGAACTCTCCTCACTTTATGAAACCAGCATAACACTAATATCAAAATCTGACAAAGATGTTATACATGAAAAAAAATTATAGGCCAGTACCGTCCATGAAAATAGAAGCATTTGAACCCAACAATATATAAAAGAGATGATAATTAGTAGGGTTTAACCCAGGAATGCAAAGCTGGTTTAATTTAGACAAATCAATCAATAAAATTCACTATATTAACAGTGTAAAGAAGTAACCTTCTGTGTTCATTTCAACAGATGCAGAAAAGGCATTCAACGGAATTCACCACCCAGTCAGGATCAAATCTCTCAGCAAAACTGAGATAGAAGGGAACTTCCTCCCCCTAACAAAGGGCATCTACAAAACCCCCTGGCTGTTACCACTCTTAAATTTTTCCACTCTGGGAACAAGGAAAGAAGGCCTAATCTCACTACTTGTACTCAAGCATTACACAATACAATAATGCAAGCTAAATAAATAAAAAGCATAAAAACTGGAGAGAAAGAAGTAAACTATTTATGTAGGTGATAAGATTGTGTACACAGCATATCCTAAGTAATCTATAAAACTCATGAAAACAAGTGAATTTATTAGCAAGGTAGCAGAATATAAGATCAATATACAAAATTTTCTATTAGAAGGAAAAAAATGAGAAAATAAAACTTTAAAATATCCACCGTACAATAATATCAAAAAACCTAAAATATTTAAGAATGAATTTCACAAAAGGCAAGTAAGACTTTTACCCTGAAAAGCATAAAATGCTGCTGACAGAAATTAAAAATCTATAAATGGAAAGCTACACCATGTCAAGGAAGAGAAGATTCGATGTTGTTAATATGTAATTATCTCCATAAATTAATCAATACAGTGCAACTACAATCATTATCCAAGCAAAATGTTTTGTGAAAGTTAATAAAAAAATTCTTAAATTTACATGGAATTGAAAAGGACCTCTATCCAAGCAATCTTGAAAAAGGACAAAGTTGAAGGGACTGCATCACTTAACTTCATGTCTTATTATAAAAAGCTACAGTAATGAAGATAGCATGGTAGGGGCATAACAATCCATAGACAGATGAATGAAACAAAGAAGAACGTGCAAAAAATAGACCCTCACTTACATAGTCATGTAATTTTCATCAAAGGTGCTAACACCATCAGTGGGAGGAAGACATCTTTCAACAAATGGTACTAGGAAAACTGGATATCCACATGGAGAGAAAATAAATTTTGAACCCTCTGCATCACAACATACACAAAAAGCAATCTGATATGTATCAAAAACCTAAAAGTAAAAGCTATAATGGTAAAGCTTTTAGAGAAACACAGGAGACTAGCTCTATAACTTATCAACAACTCTAGCATTTCTTTGAAACTGGCAAAGATTTGTTAGTTGACAGAAGGTAATAATCATAAAAGGAAAGAAAAAGCTGATATATTAGACAGACATCATGAAATTAAAAACTTCTGCAGATCACAAGACACTATGAAGAAAATATCAGGAAAGCCACAGACTGAACCAAATACTCACAGAACACATCTAACAAAGGACTTATATCTGGAATATTTAAAAAAGCTCCTACAACTCAATGATGAGAAGACATACAGCCCATTCACAAATAGGCAAAGGACCTAAAAAGACACTTCAAAACAGAAGATACAGGAGCAGCCAGTAAGTACATGAAATGATCACATCATTACTAATCAGGGAAATGCTAATAAACACCACAGGAAAATACCAATATACTATTCGAATGGTTAAAAATTCAACAGACTGAGAACACTGTCACCGATGAGGATACAGAGCCACAACAACTGGTTTGCACTGCTCCTGGAAACGCAACAAGGAACAATCACTTTGGGAAGACGTATGGCAACTTCTTGTAAAATTAGATACACAGCAAGTTAAATCTTAAGTATTTACTCAAAAGAAATAAAAACATATCATCACAAAATGTATGAAAATGTTCACGGCAATTTAATCTATAATAACCCCAAATTGAAAACTGCCCTAGTGAATGAATAAACTGTGGCTTATTCAACTAATGGACTACTAGTGAGCAATCAAAAGAAATGAACTACCAACGTATACAACAGTATGCATAAATCATGTACATGAACACTCAGAAGAAAGAAAAACAACATAAAAAGAGTATCAGTGTATCAAGCCATGCCAAATCTAAAATGACCGAGATTTTAGAATCAGATAGAAACTTTAAAGCACCTATTGTAATCATGTTCAAGGACATAACACTTGCAATAAATGAAAAAATAGAACATTTATCTGGAACAGAGAAGTAGAATAGATAATACTTTGAACATTTATGTGCTTACACCCTATGTTAAGCATTTAACATGGATAATCTTATTTAATTCATATATATATATATAATCCAACCTCATTTTACAAATGAAGAAATTAAAGTAGAAAGAAGTTACGTAGGTTGTCCAAAGTCACATCACTAGGATGATTCAGAAGCATAATTCTTTAGGGCTCCCTAACTCACACTAAAGTCAAACAGAAAAGATAGGATCACTAAATAAGTTTTTAATTCTTAATTAACTTTAAAAGTCTATCTGTGTTGGTGTGAGGTGGGGGAGGGCTATGCTAAGGGAAAATACCTCAAGAAAATATCAAACAATACAAACTGAACATCTGCTCCCTTGTGACTAGGCTTGCCACACCTGCAAACCTCACTGTCTTACCTTAGGGAACTGCTTTACAGGGATTAACACCTTCTGTCCCAGCTTCATGTTCTTATTAATCACCACATCGATGTACTTTTCTTCATCCTTGCCTTCTCCTTTTTGAAACTTCTCTATTTCTGTGGAGGAAAAAAGATAACCATGAAGTGTATGACTTAGGACCCCAGAGGTTGGAGTTCTTGCTAGCTCTGCTGTGGCATGAAATCAAATACAGAAACACAGACTATCAGATCAATAGGGGTTTTTCAAGTAATGACGTATTTCCCACTTTATCAATCATTCTTCACCAGTACTGTAGAAAAAAGGCGTGTACCATGGCTCTGCAAAGTCAAATCTCAACAGCCCATGCTAATGGAGGAAACAATGAACTAAAAAACAGACACAAACAAAAATAAGTTTCTTGGGGCCTTCTGGAATCCTAGAGAGAGGCTGCTCAAACAGCTAAGAAAAGCCAGAAAACAATCTCTGTTCAGTGTTACAAAGTACTGACATCCCTATCCATCAGCTCTGCCTGGCTCTCTGAGGCTTACACCACAGGAATTGATTCTTTAAGATGGCATGAAAAGTCCTAGACAACCTCCTGTCAGTTGACCTCCCCAACCGAATCTACCCTCCTCACAAGTGACATGGATCAACTACACACTCATGTCTTCGTTAACATTCTTTTCTCTGCCTGTAATGTTATTATTTCAACGTCATACATCTTGAAGATTCAGCCACATCAAATACTATTTTTTATGTGTGACTATCCCTTTCACCAATGAAGCAGGAAAGAAAGAATCAATCACTTCCACCTTGATGCTCAGAAAACACTTTACATTCAATTCTACGATGGCTCCTATTGGAGAGAATGTGGTATCTCCACAGACAATGTTTGGAACCTCCCATTCACGTGTTGAAATCCTAATCCCTGATGTGATGGTCTTAGGAGGTGGGGGCTCTAAGGAGGCAACTGGGTCATAAGGGCGGAGCCCTCATGAAAAGGATCAGTGCCTTATGAAAGAGACCCTATGCATGGAGCTCTTTCACCCCTCCTGCCACAAGAGGACACAGCAAGAAAACAGTCGTCTATGAGCCAGGAAGTGGGCCCTCATGTGACACCAAATCTGTAGGCATGTTAATCTTGGACATCCAGCCTTCAGAACAGTAAGAAATGTATTTCTGTTGTTCATAAGCTCCCCAGTCTATGGTATTCTGCAATTGCACCCCAAGTGGACCAAGATACTCTCCCACCAGAACATAAATTTCTCTTAGGTAAAAATCTGTTTCTTCATCCAACAAACATCTACCACTAAGCACACACCACGTGTACCTTCCAGATCTTGGAAAATTTCAGATGCTGTTTCCTCATGTTGTTGCCTAGAGCATTTAGCTGTGTAAGAGGTACACAAGCAGGTGCTTCAATGAGTGCTGAATTACTGTGTACATGCACTGCTCCTTCCAGACAGACCACAAGATACGCAGGTTCAAGGAAGGGAACCACAGCATGGAGCAGGCCCAAACCTGGCATCAGGTGTAGAAAGGGGCACACGTATTCACTTGTTTTGCTTGCTGGGCTAGGAATACTTAAGAATTTAATATGTGCCACATTCATGACGTAATTCAATCTTCACAAGAGATGGCAGATAGGAAGTTCAGAAAGGTTACTCTGCCAGTAATAGCAAAGTTAGGACTTCCCTCCAGGTTTGTCTGACTATAAAGACAGTGTGCCACTGCAGTCTCTCCCACCATTTTTTATGTCATATAAGACAGAAAATAAGATTTTCATGGCACCTTAGGATAATGGAGGCTCTGTTGACAGCTGGAGGCTTCAGTTACCACTAAAGAACCCAGGGGTACTGACGCCTCCCCTCCTCCACCCACCTACCTCTTCATGCTCTTGAGCGCTAACCCCCCAATTGTCTTGCTTGTATTCAGAGTTGAACCTGATCTCTCTTCTCCATAGTGACAGTCTTGACACCTATCATGATAGTCCTGAATAAAGTCTTCCTTACTATTTTAACAAGTGTCAGAATGATTTTTTTCTTTAACAGTGCATGGTAAAAAGTCAGTATACATGTGGGGTATAATAAAAAATATCTATTTGGTCTTTGTCCCAGGTTCCTGGCACGGATTTCCTAGAACCCTACAAATTTCCTGATAGGGCTGCACTTTATCATTCCTAACAAGCCCCTTTCAAGCATAGAAGCCTTTATGCTAATGAGATGACTCTTGGAGGAAGAGGGAGCTGGCTGCCAGGAAAGCTGCCCGTGTGAAAAACCAAGCAAGTGTGGAGCTGGTATGTTCAGCACTCCCACCTGTGCAGAGAGAAGAGGCGCTAGAAGGCGTTCAGTCATCAATGTGAACCATAATAGTAAGGAGAGTGCTTTTCTGAGTCCTGGGAGTCACTCTAGCACATTACCGAACCTGAGGAGGAGCTGTGGAAGCCCCACACTTGCAGCTCATCAGGCTGTAGGTAGCCCGAGCGCTCCACCTGAAGCTGATGTCTGAAGTGAGGGCAGTCTTGTGGGACGCAGCCCTCCTCCCGTGGGGTCTTCCCCTAACTCCAGCAGTGAGTGTCAGAACTGAACTGGTCGAGCTGCCGGACACCCAGTTGGTGCTGGAGACCTAGCTGGTGTCAGCAGACACTATACAAAAGGGATTAAGAGTGCTGGGGAGGGAGATAGAGGAGAGCAGGAAAGGCCCTGAAGATAATACTAAACTTCCAAATAAACTGATTATTTTGTTTGCTTTCTTGTATTATCCTAGGTTTTAATCCAGAAAACGAATTCTAAACAGAATCTGTATGGGAACAATGTACATTAAAATAGAAGGATATGAAATGCAAAGATTTACTTAGATAATTCTTGTTATTGTTGTTGAAAACACCTTTAAAAGTACTTTTCATCTTGACTTTTTCCTATTAAAAAAAAGTTAAAACAGTATAACAGGATGCAAAATCAAGGGAAAAGTTTCCTCCTACACCCATACTCCAGAGGTAATGACTATAACAATACCATATACTCTTTCAAAAGTTTTCCAGGAATACATAAGCACACACTCACACGAGCGCATGTACACACACACAGGCTTTAAAAATTGTAGAACTAATGGTGTAGATGAGCTAAACTAGCTTTGTTTTCCTCAGTAAAGAACAATAAGTCACATGTTATCTGCTCCATCAAGTATAGTAATTCATGACTTCAGCTTTAATTATCAGAAAATTAATTCCACGTATTTATTTATGCATTTATGCTATAATTGGAAATGCCTTTAGCATAGAAGATTCAACAAAATTATACTGAAACTTTGTAGAAAGGAAAAAACTTTTAATGTACATAAATGTTTGTTAAAATAGGTGTAATTACCTATTTTCAGATAACACTGCATTTTTGTGATTTTGAGCACTCACAACATATGCACGACATGTAACTCCAGAGTCAGCATTCAAATGTTATTCCTTGCATCAGTGACAGTAAACATTTTAAGCAACACATAAAATCATGAAGATTAAAAAATTAGAAAAAATATGTATTTTACAATATATTAAAGTTTGAGATATACCTATGATTTTGGAAGGGTAAATAAAAATTTTTAAAAAATACATAAAATATTTAACTTCCTCTCTAGACCATCAACTCTGAAAATCTTATGTTGCTAAATATCTTGTCACCTTAAGTAAGCTTTGAATGATGTTAAAATATATTTCACTGTTTAAGATTTATTTGAAAATTGTGAAGGCCTGATGCCACACTACAAGTGTGTTGGTTTGCAAGGACTGGACCTAACACACACCACACGACAGCAGAAGGAGCCCCAATCCCTAGGGTCCAACGCACCTGGCTTAAATCACGACTATTGCACTTGCCGCAGACCCTCTAGCTACCAAATTCAAAACTGGTCAAAACTTTTGTGGTTCTTTTAGGGACTATTCATTCAATCACCAATTTTGCAATTTCCACTTGATTGAGCATTGTAAGTAGTTTGATGTTTTCATGAAGTCCCATAAAATACAATGCAAAAAAAAAAAAAGTGGGGGGGGCGGGGACTGTACAACATGATGTATGAAATCCTGAAACAGCCTTCTGGTATTTACGCCTCTCCCTTACTGGGAGTTTCATTTTCCAAAGCCCCTATGACCACATCTGTGATCTTCTCTAGAGAAGGGAAGGTACTTTGACACGACCAAGGTGGATAGAACCTCTTAGTTAACTGTAGCCAGTGAAGGCCAACCATAGAGAAAATCCAGTCAGGTTTCTGAGGTCAAATGCATGAGGGATTTCACTTTTACTAATCCCCAGATTACATTTGTTACCACACAGTTCAATGTACCAATGCCATCTCCCAGCTCAGAAATAATAAGCAAATGTGTGATTAGGTTTTAGATAATGTAGGGGATTAAAAGGTTATGTTTGCAAACCATGGACATCAAATTTCTGTCAGCCCAGAAACCTAGTGTCACTTACAATGTCTTTCTTATTTGTTCGTTTCTTTTTTGTTTTTGCCTTGGGCGACTGCAGAGCTTCCTAAGCAATGGCCACTTACCTTTATATTTTAGCCCATCAAATATAGTAAAATCCACTAATCCTCTAAAAACCAGCCAAATCATCTTTGGATTTACATGAATTAAATTTTCAGTATTTATTGAAAATGTTAAATAATTTGAGAACTGTAAATTTTCATTAAAAATGCTTAAGTTCGGGGCACCTGGGTGGCTCAGTCGGTTAAGCATCTGACTCTTGATTTCAGCTCAGGTCATGATCTCATGGTCCTGGAAATGATCCGCACATCAGGCTCCATGCTCAGTAGGGAGTCGGCTTGAGGAGTTCTCTACCTCTCCCCTCCCCTGCTCTCTCTCTCTAATAAATCTTTTAAAAAAATGCTTAAATTCTCTCATAGAATCAAGCACATTTAAATCGTTATTTTCCTTCTTCCGAGCAACTCCATTTCTACGAGTTCACCCTACGGACATACTTTAATGTAAAATATTCTATACAAAGCTTATAGCATTGTCTTTAATAGCAAAACACTGAAAACCATCTAAATGTCTAGCAACAGGAACCTGGTTACAGAAGCTAGAGCATACGTGCACTATGAAATAGCAGACAGCTACTCTATAAGATCAAGAACTCTTTATGTT